CTGACACAGGGTAGAAACTGTTGGAGGGCTCTTGTGAACATGGAAATGGAACTTTTGTTTGCATAAATTGTTGGTAAGTTGCTTGAGTGGCATCTCAAGAAGGGCTCAGCTCCAGGAAGTTACTTATTTTTTATTATTTTCCTTTGTTGTTCAGACAGAAGTCCATTAACTGACTATTAAAATGGTGTAGGTAACAACTCTGATCCCTTAAGAAGTTCTCTACAAGAAATTCGGTTTTCGCAAATACCAGGATTCGTACTTTCGTCTTTTGTAAATACCTCAGGGCCATCTGATGATTTTTATCACTGAATTATTGCCTGAGTGGAAGAGGATCTGATAAGCAAAAAGTGAAACTGTCCTTGTGCGTAATTTGTTAAGCAGAGTGTTATGGCCCAAATTTGAGATTGAAGAGGGTATGGTATTACCCAAAAGTTAGAGACTTGCGAAAAGCGTTTCGCAGTCATTGCCGTAAATTGTAAACACCGGGACTGGCAATTAGGTTAAGAATGTGGATGCTCAGCAGGTCTGTGTACTCACAGAGCCCGAAGCTTGCCTCACTCGGTCACTGGATTTAATCGTAAGAGACCACATACACAGCAATAAGACGCAAGGGGTCCGCCCACAACCACCCATGAGAGCCAATGAGGAGGTGATTATGAGGATTGAGGACACTGAGGGGGAGTCACCTACCCTCTGTCGTCAACGCTGAATCAGCGAAATAAAACCATAAATTAGGGAATTTCGGGGGACTTGGATCACGTTCTAGCACAGAATATTCGGTTGTCAGCCGAAGGCTCTCTTCAACATGGGTACGACCAGCGGAGGTAGTGGGCCGGCATCTTGTACTTCACGTAAGTTTATTTACGCATAATAGCCATGCTGATTGATAATATCGTTGTTTAATAGTATTGGTGATAACTGTGTTGTTGAGTTAGTTTCAATGTGCAAACTCCATTGTACCCAGTGAGCCCTTAGGGTAGGATACTAGGATAAAGTAAAAGCCTAGGATATTAGTCAGGCAATAAGTGACTTATATGTCGGTGTCAAGGTTACACATAGGGTGTAGTGGTAACTATAGTATGTGGGAATTTAATATAGATATTTAAGGGTAGATCACGTTTCGAGGGAACTTTATGAAAGATAGTAGAATTGTATATAAGACGTAGTAAGAAATGTACAACTAAAAGATTTATGTTACAAGAGGAGGGCTTGCATGGCCCATTAGATGAGTCCGAGAGAGAGAGAGAGAGAGAGAGAGAGAGGCTCCAGGCCTCCACCCCTGAAGGGGGAGAACTTAAAGAAGCAGAACGGGTAGTAAAGACTCTATGGAGTCCTGACAGAAGGTCAGTCTTTGTGACAATGTAAATTTGTAAATTATGTAAATACAAAAGTGTAAATAGATGGAGTAGATAGATAGGATAGGATGTACCGGGGTTGTGATTCATATCTATAATCAACTTTCCACCTCCAATCCCGATAATCCTGACCAAAGCGAGGGTGAACTGACACAGGAGCAGTGGCAGCCGAAGACAAGAAAGACAAACAGGGATAGACACCTGCCACACCAGCAGAGTTAAGTAGCCTAGATACCAACGCCCCTTAAGATATAATGATGAAGTGTATTAATAAAGTATTACGTCGCTACCTGTAAACTACGGGAGGAGTGGTCAAGGACTATATGCCAGGGAGTGGTGCCCACAATCAAAAGGACAGATAATAGATGGTGACAGCTTTTACCGAGAAGGAAACCCCGAAATAGGAGAATCCTAGTTAAAGGTGAGCTAGGATGATTGTGATAACCCCTTACAGAGCAAGTGACGGTGGAGGCAAGGAAGGATACCTCCACGGCCCCCTACTTGCGGCGTAACAGTGGTGGCAGAGGAGGCTACCTCCACGCCCCCCCCCCTGCACCACGGCATTACACAGAGTACTATGAAGACATACGGGTGAGTGAATACAGAGCTCTACTTTACTTGCGCTCACTTCAGTTGGGAGTGAGTGGACAGCTCCACGCCCAGGGTGCTTTATTCGCGGGGAAGAAAACGGCGGTAATCATTGATTATGTGGCTGTTGGGGGGGTGGGGCAGAGCCAGTCTCTAGGTTGTGAGGTAGAATAGAGCCTATTGCTCTACCGCCTCAGCTAGTACGTAATAAGAGAAACGGAATAATTTAAATAGACTAGGAAGGTGAATTCTTAATTACATTGTAAGTTAGTAACGTTTGTCAGTCCTACGAAACATGCTTAGAATGATGAACCTGATTACAGTTTCTGTTCGTTTGCTTTTCTTCTCCAGCAGCCGAAGAGTCGCGCACATGACCTTTATTTTTATGTGGCTTTGCCTCGGAAGCACCTAGCTATTTATGAATCATTTGCACCAAACATTCCAAAGAAGGTAATCTTTTTTAGTGTAGCACTTTCTTTTCAGAATTATAAGAATCAAATATTAGTTTGAGTTATGAGTACTGATAATTTTAAAGCATTTTAAAGGAAAAGTATATATAATTCCAAAATCCGGAGTAGAGAATTCTTCTCCCCAAAATATTCTGTGAAAACACTGAGGCTCCAAAATTTCAATTTCATTTCACATAACTACTCAAACATATATGTTGCAGTTTTCAAATCATATTTTAAAACATGTCAGTTTTCAAAAAATTGTCTTCTCATTCTGTCACTGAAACATGCAACGCCAAATGCTTACCTTCTTCTCATGGCCGCTGATTTCCGAACACACCGTACATGTGCTGACCACCAACTCACTGCTGACATAGTTGCTCTCGACGCTCGAACACTCTTGCTTCAGTGGTTCTCTCATTAAACCCGGAGGCGATGTAATTCTCACAGAAGGAACACATTCCAAAGTTTCTGCAACAGAGCGAAGCACGTGTCAGTCTTTATATTTCAGTGCTCTCTATTACCAACCGCCCAGCCCCACATATGGGAAAATGTTTTTGGACTGCGCCTCCAAAATGAAGTGGTGGTCATAGCATCTCCATTGCTTTTCAACTTTCTTTATTGTGTACCATTGTGAAGCTGGGATGAAATAAACGCAACTTAATCTAAGTACATCCGCATGCCTCCGACAAGATTAGGGGAACAACCATAGCGTAGGTCCATTAAAACCGTGACAGTGTTCAAATATTTGGGAACAACAGTAACATGATAAATAAGAGTTATTGCAGAAGTAATAGGAGTCTGAATTAGGATATATATTCCGAAAGATTTCGTCTTCTGGTCCACCGTCAGTCTTTCATAAATTAGAATATAAAAAAATTAATTGATCTTACGGTATTTCGTAATTTTCAAACTTGGTCGTTGCCATTAAATTCAGTTTAGTGATTAAACAATTTAAAAAGCAGAATGCTGATGAACACTTTTTAACGAAC